TGTATGTATGTGATTTGTGTTTGTGTATAGATATAATGTGTGCGTATGTGCGTGCATGCGCGCTTGTGTGTATGTATATGTGTAAGTATGTTTGTGCCTGTAAATGTGTGTTTGTGAATGCATGTATATGTGTGTATGTGTATATGTGTGTATGTGTATATGTGTGTATATGTGTATTTGTATGTGCATGTGTGTGTATGTATGTGTGAGTGCCTGCGTATGCGCGCGTACCTAAGGGTATGCACGCGCGCATAAAAATATAACCACATGTTCCTCCAGCATGTTATTACAGGCTTCCTCTGAGAGAACGCAGTCGCTGTGTATGTTATGTCCTCACAAGCCCGTAGTAAACATAGAAAACATGCAGGCAATGCACGTGCTATTTCTGCTCTCTGGCTCGGTCTGCACACTTGCATACTCAAGAGAGCACATTTATCAGACACAGCAACAACAAAAATACACAGGCGCGCGCGTGTATATATGTTAATAGATAGATAGATAGATAGATAGATAGATAGATAGATAGATAGATAGATAGATAGATAGATAGATAGATAGATAGATGGATAGATGGATGGATAAATAGATAGTTACATACATACATACATACATACATACATACATACATACATACATACATACATACATACATACATACATACATACATACATACATACATACATACATACATACATACATACATACATACATACATACATACATACATAGAACATGGGCGGTGAAAGCAGAATGAGAGACGGAATAGGGGAAAGTGAGAAAGAGAGAAAGGCAGGAAGAGACATATAGAGAATGGGTGGTTAGCGGCTGGTCTGGTCTGGTTTGCTCCTTTTCCCCATCTAACAGCTATTGTCCTTATCTCTCCTTCTTTTTTCTTTGTATGTTACTGTCTCGTAACACCTCTAATCTTCGGCACTTATATGACCTAGAGAGGGGGGAGGGGGGGGGAGAGAGAATGGAAGAGAGTGCGCCCTGAGAGAGAGAAAGGAAGAGAGAGCGAGAGAGAGAGAGTGAGAGAGGGCAAGAGAGCGAGAGAGAGTGAGAGAGCTAGAAAGAGCGAGAGAGCTAGAGAGAGCGAGAGAGAACGAGAGAGCGAGAGCAAAAGAGAGCGAGAGAGCGAGAGCGAGAGAGCGAGAGCGAGAGAGCGAGAGCGAGAGAGAACGAGAGAGAGAACGAGAGAGAGAACGAGAGAGAGAGAGAAAGAGAGAGAGAGAGAGAGAGAGAGAGAGAGAGAGAGAGAGAGAGAGAGAGAGAGTCAGTTGATGAAACAAAAGCCAAGCTGCTTAGCAGAAAAAGGGTATCCGAGAAAAAGGAGTAAATAGTAGAATTCTGTATGCAAAAATAAGTGCTGAATTTTCGCCATTTTCGTTTCCCCGTCAAAGCAAGGTAAAAACTTTTCCGAGTTTGTATTTTCTTGATAACTTCTTTTTTAAACTAAGTGTTCAAATCTAATCTAGATAAGACAAGAAACTCACTTGAAACAGCTGTGTTATGTTAACTGGAAAAATTGTATAGGCTTTAATCATAATGACTTCCTTCCGAGAATGCACTTTTTGTTCTTTTCAATGTAGCGTGTGATAGATAGATAGATAGATAGATAGATAGATAGATAGATAGATAGATAGATAGATAGATAGATAGATAGATAGATAGATAGATAGATAGATAGATAGATAGATAGATAGATATGAATATGCGGGAGCGGAAGATACAGGGTGATCCAAATAAACAAACTGTACAACTTTTTTCTAAATATCTCTCAAAAATGTGTACTAGAATGTTGGAATTTGGAACATATGTAATTCATTCAAAAGAAATTTGTTTGACATACGATTTACAAAGAAAAAAACTTATTTTCGAAAATGGAAATGGCTTTTATAAAAACCACCTGTACATACAAAATGCACCAATTTAAAAAATCTTATGAGGAAAGGCATGAAATGATTGGGGGGGTTTTCCTTTCCTTTTATTTTAAAATCTAGAATCTTTCCATCCTTGTAACCTTTAAATAATGTTTATTTTCTCTTACAAAGTCAATCTTTTTTTTTTTATTCTGGAATTCCGAGAACCAATGGTGTGTATGTCCTCCTTTGAACTCGACAAATTTTAACTCGTTGTTCGTATTGTTCAGTGGTGACCAAACACAAGGGTCCACTCAACCATGAGTACTCAAAGCCACACACACACA